TTACGCTAACTGCTGGTTCCCAAACCATTGTTAATCATTCCTTATTGCTAGACATCTTGGTTCCTTCTCATTTCCACTATTATTGGTAGTGAAATAGTGTATGGTGAACATCCTTGTTGATCACCGTTTCAATCTTAGACTGAATTCTTAGAGGCTGAATTTCTCTACTAAGGCTAATAAATTTTGTTAAAGTTTGGGGTACATTTTACTGAAACAGAAATGTCTAACCAGGTAATACTCCGACCAGGAGTATCTGTTTCAGATGTCTCATAAACATTGATAGGAACTGGGAGGTTTTATGCTCATTTGTTTCAGTTTTTCCAGTTAAGAAAATTTTTGGTTTTAATTTGTATTTCTTAGGGATTTCAGTGAGGATTACAAAGACTTCTTAAATTCAAACTTAAGATAATTGATTAAAATTAACTACAAGAATAGTTGTACCTTGCCACAATAAAAAATTAGTGTTTAATAACCGAGAAAACTTTTAAATAAACAAGCCTTGAATGTCATCTGGTCTACCATCTTCAGTTTAATTTTTTTTAACTATTAAGAGAAAGAATTTTCTGTTATTTTGTCTTATGCCTCCTTTTGTTTTCTTTAACAGCATGAATACAACAGTGGCTGAGAGCCCCTTCAAATGTGATCCTGATGCTGCCAAAGCTATTGTGGATGCTGTATGTAAAAGATTTCTTTCTTTTTTTGTTTTTGTAAAAGTTTTCTTAAAAAAAAAAAAAAAAAAAAAAGTCAGGGTTAGCAGGTGGAGGGGTGGTTAGAGTGCTGGACTCCCACATAGCTGACCATGGCTTGAGTCCTGTACCTGGTGGCTTGCTTTTCCACTTTCCCTCTCTCTCTGGTCAAATTAAAAATAACAATAATAATAAATAAGTAAATAAATAATTCTTTAAAAAAAAATTGGTGGCTAAAATATATGGTACTAAATGGGGAGAGAAAGCACTTTTTCAACAATTATCTGAGTACTTCCTGTATGTATTCTACTATGTGAAGTGTTAAAATTAGAAACCATGAACACATACAAGTTGACCTTAACTGAAGAGAAGCTGAGGTGTGGCCTTAGTCAACCATAAGTTGGACAGACAGTGAAGAAGAATGATTTGTAGAAACCAAAATGATTCTAGAATAGACTTAGTAACCCAAGGGTTTATTATCTATCATAATCCAGTTTTCACAAAAAGTTAATGGGAATTAATAGCAGGGACTGGGAAAGTTACCAAATTTGAGCTACATTGCAGGAATGATTTATAATACCAGAAAAGACATTCAGGTGGGATAGTAAAACATCCATTAATGCAATACTTTTATTTTTGTGCTATTTTAAATTATCTGATTTGGATTAACCAAAAGACTAAATTAAATTATTTTCACTTACAATATTAAATAAGAAAAACAAAAACAAATGAGGTCAGATTTTTACCGCCTCATAAATAGGTAGTGCATAAAAGGAAAAAGGAGTTTGATGACGAAGCCAATACATTTAACTTCATCCCTATTTATATACGAATCCTGACAAAGTTAGTATGAATTGGAAAGTTGGAAAGGAAAAGCTGGTGGTTAACTGTCATAACTTTTCAGTGAGAACACTTGGTCCACATTTTATATATGTGTGTATATATACAATCATCATATATGTACATTTTAGTTTTTGAGAGAGAAAGGCCCAGATCCTTGATCAGGTCCTGCCGCAGTCGTCCCTGCAGCCTTCCAGCCAGACAGGATCACAGGAGTGCCTGTGTTGCACCTGGCAGTACAGGTTGACCCAGGGCCCATATCTGGGGCTTCTCATGTGACTCTAACTAGTGTCCTGTTGTCTGTGCTACATGGCTGGACCTGTAGCTCAGATTTTACTCTTTATTTCAACAAACATTTATTTTTATTATTTCCCTGGGTGTCACTGAAAGCCAAGAGGCTTCCATTTGCTAGCATCTCTTAGCAGTAGAACAAATCTTGCATTATTCCTATATATGTTATTTTTGGACTCTCTAAACTGGGATAATCTTCTGTTTGGATGCCTTTAGAATTTTGTCAGTATACGTGATTAACTTTTATCTTTTTCTGAGATTAGACTAATAGATTCTAATATTTTATTTTAGTTACCACCACCATGCGAATCTGCCTGCACAGTACCAACTGATGGTAAGATCTACATTCAGTAAAATCACATTAAAACTTATATATTCACATGGAGAAATTATATATGTATGTTAAAATTTACAACGTGATGTTTTGATAAGTATTTACAGCATGGAATGATTACATCAGGGTAACTGTAGGCCAGCTGTGGCATGTAAGGTGGCTGGATACCACATGGCTGATTGTGTAGCTCTAGTCTCAGACTTGGTGGCTTGAAGAACATGCTGGGTGCATGCGCATGTGTGCCTAAAATCCTAGAAGGAGAATGGAGGAGAGGGGCTTGTGGCATGGACATCTCCCCATGGGGAGGTGCTTTCTCACATTCTCTTTCTCTCTCTGTGAGTGCGCGTGCCCTCTAGCAAAAATGATGAAAAAAAATCAGGCTAATTAACAAATCCATCACCTCACATACTTACCATTTCTTAGTGGTAAAATATTTTAAATCAACTCTCTTAGCAATTTTGAAATATACAGCAAATTATTATTATAGTCACTGACCAGTGGAGTATAGACCACTAGAATTATTCCTCTGGTCTAACTGAAACTTCGTATCCTTTGATCAAAAGCTCTCCTTTCTCGGGAACCAGCAGTTAGCGTAATGGCTATGTCGCTGGACTCCCACGTAGTCGACCGCGGTTCGTGTCCCGGACCCGGTGGCTTAAAACTCACGCCGGGCGCGTGTGCGTGCGTGCCCAAGATCCCGAGAGGAGAATGGAGGAGAAGGGATTGCGGCGTGACCATCCCCCCTGGGGGGTGATTTCTCGCTTTCTGTCTCTATGTCTCTCTCTGTCTGTCTGGCGAGCGCGCACGCGCCCTACAGTGAAAATCTCTCCAAAAAAAAAAAAAAAAAATCTCTCCTTTCTCCATCCACCCTCCTCCCACCTCCCCCTGCTCCTGGCAATCTCCTTTTTACTCTCTACCTCGATGACTCTACCTTTTTTAGGTTGCAGGTATAAATGAGATCATGTAGTACTTGACTTTCTGTGCCCGGCTGATTTCACTTAGCATAATGTCCTCCAGGTCCATCCACATTACAGACATATTTTAGTTTTGTGAAAGGGCACAGGCACTTACTGGAGGTTTTCTATAAGGTACAGGTGCTCACTGGAGAGAGGCAGCAAGAGATAGGGAAAGTGGGAAATCACCCCCTGGAGCAATGGCCACACAGCAATCCCTTCTCCATTTTCCTCTCGGGATTTTGGGCAGGCATGCACATATGCTCAGCATGTTTTGCATACCATTGGGTCCAAGACTTGAATCAGCCATGTGGGATCCAGCTGTCTTGATCTCCTGCCACTTACTGGCCGAACGTTATATATGTTAACATATCACGTAAGTATGGAGAGAGAGACGGAAGGAAGAAGGGAAACATTTGTAGAGTTCTATGGTGTAATGGGATGTAAGCTTGGCTACTATATACCACTGTTAATGCTGCTCTCAGTCATGATGGTTTTCAAACCACGACCCCCTGTGTTCCTCTGAGTTCCTCTGAGGTATCTTCATGTGGATACCTCATGGACACTATGAGAGGGACCCTGAGTGGGCTGGCCTCTGCAACTCCATCTGGTCTGCTTCACCTAGAAAATAGATCTTTCTCCCTTTAGGTGTTAGAATTCTCTGTCAAGTCTTCTGGTAGAGAAAAGTTTCTGTTACTTAAAAAACGAGTTTGAAAATCACTTAATATTACACTGTTAACATCCAGAATAAGGATGCCCAAAACATTGTGATAAGTTACCTACTTTACTATAGTGAAACTTTACATGTGTATATGTTTGGTTTAAGATAATCCAGAGTAGGAACCAAGCAAGTACAGGTTGAGCATCCCTAATCTGAAAATCCAAAATGCTCTAGATCCAAAACTTTTTGAGGGTTGACAGATGTCCCAAATGGAAATTTCTGCACCTGACCTTACGTGATTGCTGCAGTCAATGCTGCAATACAGAAATACTGTAAAATACTACCTTTAGACACCGTGTATAATGCATATATGAAACAAACAAATTTTGTGTTATGTTTGGGTCTCATCCCTAAGAAATCTCATGGGGCCGGTTAGTGGTGTGGTGAAGGTGCTCGACTCCCACATGGCCAACTGCAGTTTAGGACCCAGAACCTGGCAGCTTGCTTTCTCTCTCTCTCTCTAGTCAAATTAAAAAATGATAACAAATAAATAAAATAATTATTTAAAAAATAGAAATCTCATGATGTATATGCAAATACTCCAAGATACAGGAAAATCCAAAATCTGAAACATTTCTGGTCCTAAACTTTTCTGCATAAGTAGTACTCACCTGTATATTATTCTTCATTATATGTTGGATGTACTTTTGATTCTTAACATATTCTAATTGATTTTTCTTTCTTTTTTAATACAGTGGATAAGTGGTTCCATAACCAGAAAAACTGAGGTGATTCCTCTGGAATACAAGCTGATATTGCTGCATCTTACTCATCTGGAAATACTAGATGCAAAAGTAGTAGCCTGACAAAGCTTTAAGTTTATAGAACTTCTCTAACTAAAGCAAATTCTGCCGTGACCAGTCTGATATATTCAGAATGTTACCTGTCTAAGAGCATTTTTTGTATCTCAACTGAGGTAACTAGTACATGCTAAAATATCAAAGCAGTTGTAATTTGGAAGTCATTTGTGAATAGATGTGCAAACTGAGCACATATTATTGGATGTATATGTTTACTGTGAGTTAGAAAATAAAATTATTTTGCTGAAATTTGGTGTAGGATATTTTTATTTTAACCCAAAGCTAACATTGTAAAGCAGGCATGGAAACCTTTTGGTATTCATTTTCTATCGATAATCTTATAATTCAATTTTATAATAATTAGAAACTGACTGTTTACTTTTTTGAACTTGAGAATAAAATTCCTGTCTTGTAACAATGCTCTATTTCCTAGTTCCTGGCATTCCAGTCTAAAGAAAAAGCTTTTTAACTTATATTAGCAGAAAGCACTACCCTGTTTACTCTTTAAAGTGATATCCTTTCTTCTTCTTCTTCCTTTTTTTTTCTTTTAGTCAACTAATTGGATCCTTAAACCATTGACATTATGTTCTAATTTCTCAACCAGAAAAGCTTTGTGATTCTCTCCTCTGTCATCTCTTCTGTTGGACCCATCCAGCAAGTTTATTTCTGTTACTATATTTTTCATTCATATGATTTCCATTTGGTTCTTTTTTGTAACTTGTATTTCTTTACTGAGATTTATCTATTTTTTAATTTCTTATTTCTAATGGACCATCAATGCAATATTAAAATAATTGCTTTAGGGTAGAGTTAGGATTAACCTCAATGTTAGTATCAGCTGACTTCTCATTCAAATGTGGTTTTCTTGGTTCTCAGTAGGATGGGTGACTGTCCAAAGTTCATAGACACTTTGTCTATTGTGTTAGGAGACTCTAGGTCCTCTTTAAATTTTTCACTTTGGCATATGGTCTTGGCCTACTTTTGTGGGCTGTGATTCAAATGGCAGGTTAATTGTCAGCAGCTTTGTCAGTATTGTTTTGGTCTGATTCTGCTGGGATTCCTGTTGCTTCCTGCTGGTGCTCCCTGAAGGGGCTCGGTGTCTTTCCATCATGGAGCAGTGTGGGGGTCCCCAACCTTGCTGCCCTGGTGTCTCTGGGCGGAGGAAGAGAATCTTGGGCCTCAGGGATAAAGAGGCTTCCTAAAGTAGGCCACTATAGCTTGCCTACCCACCTGCCTCAGTAGCTTGTGGTAAAAAAGGTGTCTCAGGCCTTTCAGGGAAGGAGAATGCCTCCCCTGGTTGCTTATTTGTGGCTGTGTTCCAAACAGATGCCCTTACCAGTGGTATCAAATTCACCAAAGGGAAATAAGTTATCCAGTTTGATCTAGGGGAGGAATGAGTGTATCTAAGTTGTCTTCTATGGCTAGGGGTCAAGAGATGCCAGGTGTGAGTCACTTTCTGTTGGGTAGCAGGATGCACATGCCTTGCCACTGTGTTATTCCTTGGATCCTGGGTCTTAAACTAGTTTCCTTTCTCCTTATCACTTTTCCAAGTTCTCCTTTGATTGTGTCTTTTGCTATTGCCAGGGCTTACACTGTGCTTAGCATGGAGAAGCAGGGAACAACAGGTCTATGCCATTTTGTCAGTAGCATTCAGATTTTAATATTTCTTTTATTCTTTTTGCAAATGTTTCTATTTTAAAATGATACCTCAGTCACTGACATATATGGTTACTAAAGTGTTTTGTTTGTTTGTTTGTTGTCAGGGTAAGAAGTAGGTTTTCTGATGAAAAGCATACAATGTGGGAGACTTTGCACATAAGTGGCCCACTAGGTAGGAATCACCACTCATATTTGTGAAAGGAGAGGATGGAATGAATTGTGCAGGAGGAAATACTAGCAGTTGTCTTGTGCAAGATCTTCTGGAAAGTCCTGTTAAAGCAAGGAAATACATAATACCCTTATGTTCATTTGCTAGGATTGCCTAAGAAAATCTGACTGGATTTGTCTCATAATTCTGGAGGCCAGAAGCCCAAGATCAAGGTGTCAGTAGGGTGGTGATCCCACTGAAGGTCCGGGGGAAGGATCTATTCAGGCTTCTCTCCTACTTCCTGGTAGTTCTGGCTTGTGGCAACAGAACTCCTGTCTTCACATGGTATTTTCCTTATGTGTATGTCGGTGTCCAGATTTTCCCATTTTATAAGGATACTAGTCATACTGCAGTAGGGGCCTACCCCACTCCATTGTCACCTCATCAGGACTTACTACACCTGTAATGATCCTATTTCCAAACAAGATCACATTCTGAGGTACTGAGGATTAGGATGTCAGCATGAATTTTTGTAAGACAGTTCAAGCCATAGCAACTCTCAAAGAGAAACTTCCAGGTATTTGGAAAGCTCTCCTCTTCCTTTTGGCTCAGTGATGTTAGATAAAAGTTATTTGTGAACTAAAGCCAAAAAGAAATCTTAACTTCTAGGACAGGGGCCATTCAATGTTTTCTTGAGACTTGATTTTGTGCCATGCATCATTTTAGATACTGAAGATATAGTGTTGAGCGAGACAGATGAGGCCACTGGATAGTCTGGGTAGGTTCTGTTAGGCTCAGTATTCCCCCTATATCTCAGTGTCTTAAGAAAACAAGTTTGGGGCCAGCCCCATGGCCTACTTTAAGGGACCCCAATCCCACAAGGCTTGTTTTATGGTTCAATTCCTGTCCCCGGCAACTTGAAAAACATGCCAGGCATGTACGTGTGCATGTGTGCCTCAAATCCTGACAGGATAGAGAGATGGAGAAAGGATTGCACTACACTTCATCAAGGGGTGCTTTCTCCTCCTCTTGTCTGTCTAGTGAGTACACACACTGTCTGGAAAGTAAAAAAAAAAAAAAAAAAAATGTGTTTTTCATTCATATAAATTTAGATCTACCTCTAGGTAGCTGTCTGCTATGTGATAGCTCAGCATGTTTTCTTTTTAAGTTTATTTGTTCCATGAGTGAGGGAAAAGGAGACAATGCCCTGATCCACCCCCAGCTTCAGCCAGCCTGATGCATGGGCATGTGCATATCCAACATGTTTAGGAGGGTCTCTGGGTGCAAACCAGGAACCTGACCAAGTGGGTCTGCTCCACATAGCATCACACTTTACTGCTGTCCCACTGCTGGCCCCCTTATCTCCATACTAAAATGTGCTTTCTCATATTCATAACCACCTTGGAGAATAGTGTTAAGAGTCTTACCCTGGTAAGGAACTGCTTCTGCCCAGAGGTGACATATATCACAGATGTTCTCATTTTATTGGCCAATGCAAGAAGCTTTGTGGCCATACCAGGCCTCAAGGTGACAGAAGAGTGTAGTCCTACCATGGGATAAAAAAACAGCATTTAGGGAGAATGCCAGGTCTTTTGGCACTTTGTCTCATTTAATACACAGAGAAGCAATTTATTTATTTATTTATTTTAAAAGAGTTACTTAATTTTATTTATCATTTTTGTTATTTTTAAATTTGCTACAGGGTACATGTGCTCACCAGAGAGAGAGAAAGTGAGAGAGCAAGCTGCCAGGTCCAGGACTCGAACTGTAGTTGGTCATGTGGGAGTCCAGCACCTTAACCACCATGCCACCTGCTGGCCTCTTTTATTTTAATGAGAAAAAAAGAGATTCAGAGAACCTAAATAGCTTAGCCAAAGTCGCTCAAAGTGGTGGAGGCAGGACCGATTCCTGACTTTGAGGATTTTCCCACTGCTTTACAGTGGACAGTCTTGACCATCCATCTTCACAGTCATTATTAATGTGTGCTTACCTTTCCTGAGCTGCTGTTTCCCCACCTGCAAGATGATGATAATGCCATCATCACAGGACTGGAGGGAATGGGAGTAAAGGACCTTGCTCACTGCCAGTGTCACGGTGGAGATGGATCAATGAAGGCCGGTTGTCCACAGTTGAAATCTCAGCCCCACTGAGTGAACAGTTTTTCAGATTAAGGAATCTAAAGCATTGGCCTAGTGGTGTAAAGCGTCTTAATGGAAACTCAAACTGGAAATTCAAAGTTCATTTGTCATAACTGAGTCCAAGCCTGTATGTGCTGCCACCCTGGCAACTATGATGTCCAGTCTGGTAAGCATCTTTGCTCTACAAGGGCCTAACTTGCGCTTCTACACAGAACATTCTTTTTTTTTTTTTTTGAGAGATTTTCACTGTAG